TTCCTTCCTTCCTTCCTTCCTTCCTTCCTTCCTTCCTTCCTTCCTTCCTTTCTTTTAAACTTGCCATTTTAAAGGCCATTCCTGGAAGTTCTACTTGCAAGCAAACTTTTAGCCTCCCCTCTTTCTCCATCTCCCCCCCCCCCCTCAACCCACCCCATCGGTGGGCCGGCTAGGTCTGGGTTTTTTTTTTTTTGGAAACAGATCCTGAGTGCAAAAAAGGACGGATGTTTTCATGACTTGCTTCCCAACAAGAGTTTTAAAATCCCAGGATGAGCTTGTCCGTATTTGTCGTGCTCGGACAAGTGAGCTCTTGCGTTGGCATTTTGGGTGGGCAGTAATTTGAAATGGATGCAAAGACCTTTCAGAAATACATAATGGCCAGGTTCATCTACCTTCTTAAGGAAAGGTAAAGCTTCCCCTCGCACAGATGTACTTCCTGACTCTAGGGGACAGTGCTCATTTCCCTTTCAAAGCCAAAGATCCAGCGCTGTCTGAAGACGTCTCCGTGGTCATGTGGCCGGCATGACTCAATGCCGAAGGCACACGGAACGCTGTTCCCTTCCCACCAAAGGGGGTCCCGCTGAACTGCTGACCTTTCTGATCGACAAGCTCAGTGTCTTAGCTGCTGAGCCCCCGCATCCCTATGAAGGCAGCAATTGGCTTTATTTTTACTGCTTTGGGGCCTTTTCACTTGTTAGCAACACCGGAAAGCGATTTCTCCCTAGGAAATAAAAAATCAGCACGATGGATGGTCGAAATGGCTTCCCCTCCGTTATCTGTCCAGAAAAATAAGCACTGCCTTATTTATTTTCCCTGTAATTAGATAAACTTACATTTTCCCCCCCTTCTTTTTAAAGGCTGGGTGTTCTAGCTGTTATGACAGGTATAAAACAGCGCATCCGGAAGGTTCTTTTACATAACTAAATACGTCTGGCTTTAAATCATGCACCAAGGCATGTGTCCTAACCAAGGCTTCCCGAGAACCTGAAGCAAACTCAAAAAAAACTTTTTATTAATTTCATGGGAATTCTGCTCCTGCAGTTCAAACCCCTAGCGCCGCATAACGGAGGGAGCTCCCGTGACTTGTCCCAGCTTCTGCCAAGCTAGCACTTCGAAAGCACGTAAAAAATGCAAGTAGAAAAATCGGAACCACCTTTGGTGGGAAGGGAACAGCGCTCCGTGCACCTTCGGGAGTTGAGTCATGCTGGCCACATGACCACGGAGATGTCTTCGGATAGCGTTGAATCTTCGACCTTGAAATGGAGATCAGCACCGCCCCCTAGAGTCAGGAACGACTGGCACATCTGTGCGAGGGGAAGCTTTACCTTTCCTTAAGGAGGTATATGAACCTGGCCATTATGTATTTCTGAAAGGTCTTCGCAGCCATGTCAAATTTCTGCCCACCCAAAATGCCAATGCAAGAGCTCACTCGTCCGAGCACGACAAATACAGACAAGCTCGTCCTTGGATTTTAAAACTCTCATCGGGAAGCAAGTCATGAAAACATCCGTCCTTTTTTGCACCCAGGATCTGTTTCCAACCACCACCACCACCCCAAAAAAAACCCAGACCTAGCGAGATCTCAGTGGCCTCAGTGGCCGGCCCGCCGAAGGGGTGAGTCGAGGGGGGAGGGAGGAGACGGAAAAAGAGGGGAGGCTAAAAGTTTGCTGGCAAGTAGAACTTTCAGGGCTGGCCTTTAAAAAGGCAAGTTTAAAAAGAAAAAAAGAAAAAGAAAGAAAAGGAAGACTTGTTTAAATTGAAATTGAAACCCACAGGTTCTTGGGACAATAATGGTGTGTTGTCGATTTTTGCCAGTCCAGCTTCGCAGGACTTGAGAGGTTTCCGTTGTAAAAACAAAACCCCTGTGTTTTCTTCCCACCCCAGCTCTCCGCTCCCTGGAGACTTCCGTGAAATGCCACCCCATTCTTACTGGCAGGAAAAGATCCTGGCGCTCTTTGTCCCCAAAAGGACTCAGTGTGTGTTTTGCTTGGCAGGGATGTCGGGAGTGCGAAATGCCTCCAGGGCGCTCGGTCCTTCCTCTGGTTAGCCTGCGCGATAGGAGACCGCCCCCGGGACATTTTGCTCCGTGCTCGGTCTCCGGCTTTCAGTTTGGGTCACAAGGGGTGGGGGGGTGGGGGAAGGGTATTGATTGGTAAATATGTGTGGCTCGAGGTCGAGATGAGGGGGTCCTTGGTGCTCTCTGAGCTTGGTGGGTTTCTTGCAGGCGTTTCATGACCCAACTAGGTAACATCATCAATAGGAGGAGGAATAAGGGTTTGTAATGGGGATGTGGGGGAGGAGAGTGGGATCCTTAATGGTCTCTGAACTTGGTGTTTTTTTTGCAGACGTTTCATTACCTAACTAGGTAACATCATCAGTGCTAGAAGAGAATAGGGATTTCAAAGAGGAGGAGGAGGAAGAAGAGGAGGAGGAGGAGGACAATGACTGCGGGATCCTTGCTGCTCTCTGAGCTTGGTGGTTTTTTTGCAGATGTTTCATTACCCAACTAGGAAACATCATCAGTGGGAGGAGGAGGAGGACAGAGGGATCCTTAATGGTCTCTGAGCTTGGTGGAGTTTTTGCAAGACATTTCATTACCTAGCCGGGTAACATCATCAGTGGAAGGAGGAGGAGGAAGACAGTGGTATCCTTGCTGCTCTCTGAGCTTGGTGATTTTCATGCAGACGTTTCATTGCCCAACTAAGTAATGTCATCACTACTAGAGGGAGTGCAATTGGGAGGAGGAGGAGGACAATGACGACTGTGGGATCCTTGGTGCTGTCTGAGCTTGGTTGTTTTCTTGCAGATGTTTCCTGACCCAACTAGGGAACATCATCAGTGCTAGAAGGGAGGGGGGTTTGTTCTCTCTCCCTTCTGGAACTGATGACGTTCCCTAGTTTGGTAATGAAACGCCTGCAAGAAAACCACCAAGCTAAGACAGTATCAAGGACCCCACAGTCATTCTCCTCCTCCTCCTCTTCTTCCTCCCATTCCCTCCCTTCTAGCACTGATGATGTTACCTAGTTGGGTTATGAAATGTCTTCAAGAAAACCACCAAGGACCTCACAGTTGCCGCCTCCTCCTCCTCCTCCTCCTCCTCCTCCTCCT